TTTTGCCCCCAAAGGAAATAATCTAAAGGATTTAAGTCTGGTAATCTGGGAGGCTTTGACTTTGACTTCGTCATTTTGTTTATGGTTGTACGAATATGTGTAACTCACGTGAAGCAAGGCATATTTATGCAGCATGATATCTTCAACACAATTTACCGTTTCGTCAAACATTTGCGAACATTCATCTGTATTTCGGAAACTAAGCCATTTAGGATGGGATATGTTTATATGGTCTTTTTTACTTGAAATAAACCAAAGAATCACTCTGTTGAGTATGGCAACATACTTAACTAGCACCCTGTATAGCGTTCGATTTGTTGATTGCAAATCGCACTTTGCTGAGCTGATTAAGCTATTTCCGGTGATCGTTTTATTCAAATTTGCAGTCGATGCTGATCGATCGCATTTGGCAATTTCCGAATCTGTTACAATACACGAAATCGGTCGCAACAAATAATAGAATCATCACGTTTTTTCGTTGTATTCTAATTTCCCAATCGTTTTTAATACAAACTTAATATTTCTGTATAGAATGCATTTTTGCATTTCCCGGTAGCGGAAGATTGATTTCCAAATCTTTTAGGCAACTGTTGGGTTATTACCTTGCAGTTGCCAGGCGATCTACTTTACATGGAAAATTTTAATTAATTATTCAATTAAACTATTCATTATTTGGTTATAGGTATCGACTATAATAATTTTATATAAATTATATGTTATATCAAAATTATGTATAATAATATAATAACATTAAAATATTTGAAACATACAGCAAATAATAGATATTCGTTGTAGATAAAATATAATGTTAAAATTTATTTAAGTTCTTACTGTAATATATATTATAAATACTGTAATATAGCGTTTTGCAAGATTAGCACATGAAATCATTTTCATCATATGTTATAAATATTTATTCTTGCAAGCGCTTTGCAAAATCGGCATAACAAAATAGTGATGAAATATTTTTAAAAACTTTTATTGTTTTATAATATGGAGAACTATGAACTTTTGTACTTAATATTTTTTCAATATCTATATAAATTTATCTTAGATCTATAGATAACCTCTATCTTTACACAATTTCAGAGATATCAATAGGAATATAAAAAAAATCAGACCTTTGAGGAGTGTTTCTATTCTAAATGTTTATGGACAAGACAAAAAATTATTATAATTAGTTTCATATGTATTTTATTTCTATAAAGTTTCAGATTTTTATAAATTTTTGGGTTCCTTGTTAGTGATACTTTTAAAAAGCTTTCGATTAGGTATATGTGAAAAATATATGAGTATTGATGTTTTTTATTCTGTAAATTTTAACATCTCTATAAACCTAATAGAAACGTCAAGATGGATATAATGCTTAATACATGCACTATCTGCATGTATTTCGAAGTAGCAACTGCGTGGTCGCATCTGCCGACGTAGTCGTTAATGCCGGATTATGCAGATCTGAGTTTAATTATATGCTCGCAAAATGATGGATTTTCCAGTGAATGCTTATTACACGTTTACCATCATCGTTGATCGATATCATTGGTGAGCCAATAATGTAATCTAATAATATCGTCGGTTCGAATTAATCAGGTCTCGAATTATTGCCGATCATTACCGTCAAATCAGATCTTTTAAAAAGTAATTTCCTCGACTTCTTTTCAACAATTTTCACTAAAAACTTCACAGTCTTATCATTCCATTCGGATGGGATTTAATTTAACTTTAATAAATAAAAAAGTTTTTTAAGTTTCACATAATTGACTTTCTATCAAGTGTCACTTTGTATCACTTTTAGGAATTAATGAAAATAAAAACAAAAATAAAATTTCGATTTAATTATTAAAATCTGATGAATATTATTAGGTATTCTTTTTATAACAAATAAATAAAAAAATGTGTCATAAAATTGGAATACTAATAACGAGACAATAATGTAATCACGTATATAATAATATTGAATTTATCTTTTAATATCGATATAAATATTTTATACTTTTATTTATTAAAGAATTTATACATTTTGAGATATTTGACATTGAAAGAATGTAAATGTAAGTTGTTTTTTTTTTTTATAATAGTGGACCTATTAAAACGGAAAAATTTCGAAAGGGACTATGCCTCTGTGAAATTCAACGGAATTTAATTTCGTGCACGGCTTGCGGGAATTAACATTCGTTCTGTTTATTGCTTTGTATCAAGCCCTTCCGATCGGATTGTCGTGGCATGGTTCTCGGTCATTAATCGTTACTCTCGCAATTGAACGATGTATTTTGAAAAATGTGCCACAATATTTTTGAAAATTGAAAGCCTTTGATCTTTCATTATCGATTCGATATCAATTTTTTTTAAATTGTTTATAAAAAGATTTCAAAAGGAAATTGGCTTAAAATTTATGAAAAAATGAAAAAAAAATGATTTTACTGAAGTATCTAAAAGTTTATCTAAATATAGATCTAAAAATAATGTCGGACCACTTAAATAATTATATTCTACGTTCACAAATTTGCTAGAATGTTCAAACTTTTACATCATCATGTTTGAGCACGCTACATAATTATTTTGATAGTCCAACATAATTATTTTTAGATCTATATCTTGATAAACTTTTAAATACCTCAGTAAAACAATTTTTTCCATATATTTATTTTCTTATTTCTATTTAATATAATTTTTATAATAATAATTCAAAATAAAACAACAAATATTTAACACAAATAGGCAAAGAAGGTTATATTTGGTCAAAATGGATAATAATATTTTTATGTGAATCTTAATAATTTCCAGTTTAAACAAATTACGCACTGATTATTTATTAGTCTTGAAACAGTCGTAAACTGAAGCTGGAGTACGTAATATCACAAATTAAATTAACAAACATTTAATAATATTTAATTTTTATATGTTTCAACAAAGTCATTCTTAAGAGTAACAAGAAATAATTGGACTCTTTATAATTGTATATCAAAAATAATAAATTTTCAAAGCTAATTTGAAGTCAGCGCGATAAGAAGCGCGCAAAAAAGTCATTCTTTCTATGCATTGATAACATTTTTATTAGCTTATTTTACGGCATCATATATATATACGCATAGATTTGCCCTACAAAGACGTCATCTCGTTAGTCAGAAGACATATCTAACAGTCGAAGAAACAATACATCGGAGAAAGTTGAGAACTTAAATTGCCGTTTAATACTGCTATAGTTTTACAAAGTTTCGGGATGACGGGAAGTGCATGGTCAGACACGAGTGCAACTGGTTTGTACTTACTTACTACTGACTGGTAGCAGGCAGTAGTAGGTGTCAGCGAATGGACGATCGGTTGAACAGCGTGTGAGTGTGCTTTCGACAGCTCTGACAGTTTATTAGTGGTATCGAGACCATAACTAGGATGTAGCGCAGTTAGCAATTACCACGAAACTTTGAACGTCGATTTCTAACAGTTTGCTTCTCTTAACGTTATCATAAGACAGTTTGCGTGCCTCAACCATCCTGTTGAACTATCAACATTTAAGAAATCAGGCTTGTTAGTTGTGAAATCGAGTTAGCGGAGATTATTTAGTTTCTTCGGTAGACACCTGAGATTTATCGATAAAGAATAAACTTTATTTTTAAATAAAATTTATTTTTTATTATACCATACCACTCACTAATAAATCTCAGATTTTAAGACTAAACAAAACTTCGGCGCGCGGTTTGCAAAATTGCGTAGTTATATATACATATAAATTCATACCGAAATATGTAAGCACTAGAAAAATCCGCTTTGACCGATAATAAGATTTCTTTTATTTAATTAGATTTGTTATCATCGGTTCAATTTAGCATTATAACTGTTTATTCTCAAAATTTTTTAAAAAGGTAACTCGAAAGGTTCATAAAAAATCTACTTTTAAGCATTAATTAATTTTTTTATGCATTAATAAATTACACAGATATCCGAAAAAAATATATGATATTTACTTGAAATTACTCTTTTATTTGCTTTTATAATAGTTTCATGTCTAATCAATTGTGAGGTATGCCTAACTATTTTAATTTTTTTAACTCAATCTTATAGCAATTTAAAGGGAGCTTTAGAAAGTTGGAAAACTACATAACGTATTTACTCACTATAAGCTACTTTAGATATAGCTATTTTGTTAAATGATTTTTAGGAGCAATTTTATTATACTTGTTCTACTAGACCCTTTATTTTTTCCAATTTGTGTTGCTCATTTTTTGTCTTTAGAATCTATTTAGTCTCTATATAAAATTAACAGCATTAGCTAATAACAGTCTAAAAATAATCTTGTTAATTTCTAATAACAATAATGAAACAAATAACATTTTATTAAGACAAGAGTATGGCATATATGTTAATACAACATCTAGGGTGACCAGACGTTTTTTCTGGTTTTTCCCGAATATGTATTCTTTTTTAAAGCGTCTGGAGACGTCCAGCCGGGTTTTCAGCGTGTTCGGGGTGTACTCTTTTTGGTACTCATTTTGAGAAAAAGCGAGGGGACCGGAAGTTATCGCACATGAACTACATAGTAAGCTAATCACTAGATCATTATTGTATCTGTGATAAAATATTTGAAAATTATTAGGTATTATTATATTATATATATTAAAGCCGTTTTTTTTTGCAAATACTAAATACATGTTTTTATCATTCTTAGGATTTTAAATGTATTCTTTTTCTCCTACTTTTAAATTTAAATATACTACTTATTCTATACTACAATTTAACCTAAAATGTCCTGTTTTTTGTTCTACTTTTAAGGCTTAGTGTCCTACCTTTGTACCACTTTTTAATCAGGAATGTCTTAGTTTACCTAGATTAGATCTGGTCACCCTAACATCATTTTTCCCCTGCATTCGCGAGAAATTCTTTTGTGATCGTTATCACTGATAAGAGAAATGTAAGGAAATTGGTACTTTTGATGAAAGTATCTAGACAATTTTCGAAAATACGAATATCGCGATCTTGTTTAATCGAAGTACGTGTGTTCTCAGTCGTTGACAAGGCAGCGTCCTCGCGAGCGCTCGCAATCACGTCCGGAATCACGCAGCTTCCCGCCGAGCACGATCGCATATCTGTCGAGGACAGATCCCGAGGACAGGCCTGACAGCGGCCAGGACGAAGACGAGTCCTTCTTTGAGAGGCCCCCGCCGCCACCACCGCCCCTTCCGCTTCCGCCATCATCTCAACAATCGCAGACACAAATCGATCAGACTCCCAGTCAAGGACTGGTCAAGGATGAAGAGGTCGGCGTTAAAATAATAAATATTCTCGACACTACACAGGATCGCGAGAGGATTAGTACCGAGGAGTTAGTTGGGTAGGTCTTATGAGATTAAGGAATTCTGCAATATGTCAGATATTTAAAAACATCAGTAATTTAAGAGTTGGTAGTGATGGGCCAATTATATCTATCTCATTCACGATATACATATCTGTATTTTACCTTATTTTGTCTCGTAAAAGAAATATCCTAAAAAACCTTTTTAAAAAAAAAATATACGTCAAGTACATAAAAAAGGTATCGAATATTACATTCTTCTTCTCAAAAATAGGTATGAAATAAATGCTATTAGCCAAGTATTTTATCACGCAAGACATATAAGATAGACTGAAAGTAACTATAATTGTTTTTTATTTTTATATATTATTAATTTAATATACAATAAATATAAATTATTATTATTATCTCTTTATTTTTTAAATTAAATTTCATATTATTATATTTAAAAAAATTTACAAAAAGCAGTGAAAACTATAAAAAAACCTCCTTAAAAAAAATACACCTATAGTGCATAAAATACACGTCAAATATCTCTCTCCCTTCCATTTTTTTTCTCTTTCTTTTTTCCTTTCTCGTATTCTCTCCTCTTTTGCCTTCACTTTCCCTCGCCTTTTCGCGTACTCTTCTTGCTCTCATTTTCTGTCTTTTACACTCGTTCTCCTACAATCCCCCCCCTCCTCCCTCCCCCCCTCTCTCTCTCTCTATTTCTGTTTATCTGTCTCGTGTACATAAATAAATATTACACATGTATTAATGGAGTAGCATGATGAACAGCGCGTGAATCTACGATATTAAAGGACTCGAGTTCGATCCTCGGTAGATCTAAGAAATTTTCACGTGCTCGTAGCCCCTCTTCGGCGGTCTGGTAAACCAGCAAGAATATTTATTGCCAAGAAAACCTCTTAAACTGCAGTTCGAAACCGACATTAAATTGTGAGTTACGTTTGTGTACAACTTGCGCACTACGGGCATACATACAAAAAGTATAGGCCCTGTCTCGATTTTGGGATGTTGGGCCATCGAATGAATGAATGAATGCGCATTAATGTTCATTTTCGTTGCTAATTTAATATAATGTTATATGAAGGCATTGTGTGAAAGCAGCTTAACGGACAAAACACTTTACATATATATGGGTTTATCTATGTATTTGAAAAAACTTGTTTCTTCAATTTCTGAAATGGTACTTTTTACAGACTCGATATCTCGGGATTGGCTGCATCAATTTTCAAATTAATCGCAATCGAAAGATCGCGCTGACATTATAATAAAAATGTCAGATTTTTTATTGCAGTTTCCGAGTAATTTTCATCGAAAAATTTTTCGATATCAAAATTCCGGATAAAGCTAGTAGTAGCGTCTCGAATTTGACAACGGCACGAACATATACGCAATGACGTTCACGCGTTAAGCGGTCAAGTGGTTCGTTTTATATTTTTATGCACTTGGCGTCGCTCGACTTTGTTATAGGACTCTTTTAACTTCTTTTTTTTTATAAAGATTTAAAAATTTCTACAGTGTTGGAATTTGAAATTTGGCTTTTAAAACTATTATAATAAATAAAATTATTTATTTTTTACTCGCGATATTACAGATATAATCGAATTCAACTATATTTTCTCGTAAAAAGAATATTGTCATGAGACTTCTTCGACTTCTTATTTTTATAAAAAATTACGAAGATTCGTATAGAACCGAATTTTACAATTTGGTTTTTAAAATATTACAATTAATCAAATTATCTGCATCTCGATTGCATAGTGCAGATATCCAAACGAATTTTTATTTTTTTTTTTTTCAAAAAAAAATTGTTTTGTACGGACCTGCGCGGGCGATTTTCCTAATTATATAAACACTAAAAATATCGCAATTGCGATTTTCTTTTATGTAATTTGGTTGAAATTCGTTTTCGATAGATGTCTCCATTGTGTTTTCCATCGACCTTCAAAATTCTATAATCTTTTAGAAATTTTTTAGAAAGAAATTAGAATTGTTAGATTTTTGAATTTTTGAATAGTAAGACATTAAGTACTTTCTTTGTATAGGTTCGCACAACAAAAGGATGACAGGACGACGGTCGACGGACAAGTCAGGCGACCCCGTTCGATCACGAGGGACCACTATATTTCCAGGTGAGAGTTCTGTTCCTTCTTCTCCTTTTATTATAGGCATTGCCTGTTTTTTTTTTTTACGCGTCGTATTCTGGATTCTCTATTAACAATGACTTCCAGCTCTCAGCCCTTCTCTTCAGCGGTCCTTCAAGGGGCCATTTGTTTAGTAGCTTGTAGTTTCTCGCTATCTTTATTAAGCGTGTGTCATCAGCCCCCTCGATATGGTTTTATTCCCTTTTCCGATCTCTGATGAATTTGACAATGTTTAATATTCCGCATTTTTCTCTAATCTCTTTATTTCTTATTCTGTCCCTTTTGGTCTTTCTGATTATTATTCGTCGAATACTTATATTTCTGTGATATGACTGAATTGCTTTGTCCTCTGTTTCGGCGCGTGTTTCAGCTCCATATGTTAATATTCATTCGATAATTGTCTTGTACACTCGAACCTTGCTTTCTGTTGTTAGTTGTTGATTCTTATCGTATCCTTTAGCGCTCCTGATATCTTACTCCCTTGGATGGTTGCTGCTTACCATCCTCTTATAGTTTCGACTGCTAAAGATGTTGACGCCTAGATAGTTGAAGCTCATTGTGTTCTTCAATCATATTTCTTTTGACCTTCAGCTTGTAGTTTCTTACTATGGATTTGATTTTAGATGTGGATATCTTTATATTGTATTTCTTTGCAGTGTTCACGAGAGTGTGTAGCATGCGTTGCAGATCATCTTTTTCTTCAGCTATAAGAATAGCATCGCCAGTGTAGCATAACATGTTATCAGTAATTTGTTCCCCCATTCGATATCCGGGAAAAGTGATGTCTTCTATGATCTTTTATCTGACTTTTGCTCAGACACAACTCATCGGTTTATTGGTTTGGGTGCAAAAGAGATTTGTGCGGAAAAAGGGTTGCGCAAGATGCTGAGATAAACGAATAATAAAGCTCGAGAATTTCCACGACGTCCAATAGACTAACCCAATTGAAAGCTTTTGTCTACAAAACATAGATAGGCTGATCTTGACTATTCGATTGCTTTTTCGACTACTTGACGCACAAAAAATATCTATCGTGGATCTATTTTGCCTAAATCCTTGTTCTTTGTTGTTCCTCACTTATACCGATCTTCGGTCTTAATTGCTCTAATAGAATTGTGCTGAACAATTTCTGGTCTGAACTCAACAGCGTCATATCTCAATAGTTACCCAAATCTGGCATAGTATCTTTTTTTAAAAATTGGGATCGTAAAACTAGTCTTCCATTTTTCCGAAATAGATTCCTGTTGTTATTATTACATTAAATAGCCATCCTGTTTCTTCTGTCAGTATTATATTATATCGCCATATTTCAAAAGTTCATTAGAGATGTTACCAATTCCTGATGCTTTTTTATTCTTTAGTCTTTTTCTAGCCTGTGTCAACTGTCCTATGTCTTAGGTTGGGAGGTATCCTCTCCCCCTTATTTCTAATATCTATAGACTTTGCGTAATATCATTATCTTTGTAAAGATCTTTAAAATAGGCTATAATCATTCTTCTTTATTTATAGAGGTTATTTATACCGTATCTTTTACATCTCTAATGAACTTTTCTGTTCTTGAGCATTTTCTATATCTTTTTTTTAGCGCTTTTTCCATATATCTTTCGTAAATTATTGTCAATATTAATCTTTTAACCTTCTTATTTCTGCATATGTTTCATTTCATACTCGTACATATTTCTCCCGTTCTTCTCGGCTTCTGATTCTTAAGTAATGTAAATATGCTTCTTTTTTCCTCTTGGCGATTTCTTTTACTTTGTCAATAAATCATGGTGTAGCGTTCCTTCGTTTCAATAACGCCTGTACTTTTTTTTTCCCGATTTCCTTCACAAGCGACATTCATTATATTATCTTTAATTTTTCCATGCTGTGTCTACATCGTCATCTTTTTCTATACAATTTTCTTTTACTTTTTCTTTTAGTCTTCTACAATACAGCTCTTATGTGGATTCATCTGCAAGGAACTCTGTGTTAAATTTCTCGATGTACTTCGAGGAATGGCTTGGTTTTAATGTAATAGTCATCCTCACTTAGTGAAGAATCATTCTATGACCATTGTCGGTGAAGTTGAGTGATCTAACATCCAATACTTGGCGCATTGGCGCAACCAGTTAATTATATCGCCATAATCGATGATAGACTTTCTACTCTGAAAATTCTCGAATGTGTATTTATGTTGTAGTTTATGGAAAAATGTGTTATTGATTCGCAATCTGTTTTGGATATCAGTATCTGTAAGTCTACCAGTAAATTGCTGTTATCGTGCACATGTTATGGGGTTCCTTATTAAATTTTTGCTTTATTCCCATTGCAACACTGCTGATACGTTCAGATCCAATATAACAACGCTGCATTTGTTAGGTATTAGATTTAGTTAGCCTTCATAGAACAACATTTATTTGTTCCCTGGTTTTGGTGATATCGAGAGCATAGACATTAAGAATGTGTAGCGGTTTACTCTGCACATCAAGTCTGACTTGATCTCTGGCAAAATTCTTAGACTTACATACTTTACCTCATCTATGAACGGCTGCAGATGCTTTCGTAGAAGCATCCCACCTCTGTTATTGCTATTTATTGTTTTTCTTTTTCATTATATATATAAAGATAAAGTCATCCATTATTCGTCTACCTTTTCTTTTTCTGTTAGTTTCTAAGAGACAGCAGATGTTTATGTTATTTTCTTTGATTTCCATAATAATTTCTTGATCATTCGCGTCCAAAATCTTACGTTTCATGTAGCAAGTCTAATAGTATTGATTTGAGTCGATTTTTTCTTCTGCTGGGTCTTTTCCTTTATAGATAGTCCAGTTCCGAGATTATGCGTGGTTCTATGAACAGAATTTGATTTTATCTCTGATAGGTTGCTAGCCTCATTTGAGATAGATTATTTATCAACCTCGTCTAGTCTAGATCCGCTGTATTTTGCTAGACAGGGACACTTCGAAAAGGGTATGACTCTTCGCCATATACGGTACAGTGCATTAATTCGCTGAGTTATAGTAGCGACTCGACTTATCAACGTTTATTTTTTACTTAAATACTATCAACTTTACAGAAAAACTGCAAGAGACAAAAATCATTTATTTTCTTCTCATAGAACTCTAAGAATTTTTTCAAAATTTTGTATCAAGTTTTTAGTACTGCATTTTCTTATTTTTGTTAAGTTGGGCCGCTACTATGACTCAACGAATTAATGCACTGCACTGTACAATGATCTTAAATAGAGAGAAGCAAGAGTCAATTAGACACTATTTTACGTTACATCTCCTGAGATTCTGTATTCTCTAGATGAGAGTTCCTTTCTCTAATTCCTAATTAAGTTCTCCAACGGAAAATTAAATACAGTTATCTTTAAAATATTAAGTCATCAAACTATATCAAATTTTAATAAGTTAAAATTAACTCTAGAACACATACGTGGGTCTTCCACATCCAATTGAAATTTCTCTTATTGCTTCATATACAAAAAAAAGAAAAGGGAAAGTTTTGTTTTATATCTCAAAATATAAAACTTATGGTATTATACGTACAATCTACAAATATCTATATTCCTAAATGTCAGAGCTTTAAAATAAAAAAGAGAGTATAAGTATTAATCTGAACTGTAGTTATAGCTAATCAAAGTTATAATGGGTCTTCTAGATATGTTTTCTAGAATTGGTGTTTTCAAAATTTTTTGGAAGGTGTTCTAGGGTTAATTACAGCTTCGGAAGCTAATAAAAAGCATTTTAACAGTTAGTTCAAAAAATAACCCAAATATCATATTTTCTAATGACTAATTTAACAAATCGAAAATAATGTTTCCCTAAGTGTCATGAAGATAACAAAATCAATTACATGTAAATTAAATGAAAAGCAAGATCCTATTATGTACACTGTTAGAAATTTCTATTGTGAAATCACAACAAAAGTGAAAGTTTTTCCATCCATGAAGAAGACCAGAAGATAAACTAGGCTATTAGAAATGTGACCAAAATCAGATTTCTGAATTAGTATTGGCGGTGTTCAATAGGCAGCGTTCGAATCATAAAAACTCTAGAGTTCCTCTAGTAAAAGTTAAGACATAAGAGCGGAAGAACGCCATTGCCGGGTGTCGGGTACCGGCCGGAAACAGCACAATTCCATCATAGTTGACAGTCCGATTTCGCATTCACGCCTTCTACACCATGAAACAGTTACTCACACCAATTCACAGATTCACTACCACATCGAAAGTATCTGCAAATGGCGGCGTTTAAAGGGACTCGAAATTTTCCAGTCAGGAGATCTTGATGCCCCTCATGACTCTTACTAGAGGAAATCTATTCCTTTCATATACGCTTACACACATACACACATAATCACATACAATAATCAAAGAATCGAGACCGTTATTCTTTGACATTATGCTTTGCTATAGGAAGACGTAAATTGAAACTTGAATAAAGTTTTTTCATGTAAGAACGGTGTCATGGAAGGGAAGCGACATCTCGGTCAAACTAATTAGATGACCACTTTGAGCTCATTTCTGATGGCATCGTTCCTATAAGGTCGGTCTCATGGTCTCTATTATTTATGTTTTTATCCAAATTGGTTGTAAAATCACAAACAAACTGTTTAATATAATTTTATTATTATATACAATATTCTTATTGTAATTTTACAATACCTTTGTTACGAAATTACAATAAACTCAAATATATTATTGTATGCTTTTGTGTGTGTGTGTGTGTGTGTGTGTGT